AACTCGAAATGATGAACGTACGTAGGTACGAAGTACTACGTTGTTATTAACCGACTGACTAACGGACTAAGAATACAGTGATTATCATATTCAATTTGAATTAATTTTACAAATAAACAAGTTTCTTATTCATTCTTATTCATTAACTGTTTACAAACAATGTGGATTTACACTTGTATATATGTAAAATAATAAAATATACACATATACATATTTATATATAAATAAACCATTTATCAACTTATGGATTGTCAATAGAATTTTAAGTGAATATTTATTGAAATTAAATGTAAATTATGTGCAAAATTTAATTTTCGCTCTATTTCTTTTTTGTTTTTGTTGTTTTAAACTGTTGTAGTGAACGAGAACAGAAGTGAGGACAATCGAATGTATTTGAACATAAAGTGAATCATCCAGTGAATACTTCGTTTGTCTAAAACTTGATTGTTCTTTTTTTGTGTGCAAATCTTAGACAATCGTCAGAGATTTCATAGTTCCTGCATTTCCAAAACTAATCGCTTTCTGTTCCTGTTCTTGTTTCTATGAATGATCATATAAACTTAATTGATCTAATCTAATTAGTATTAGAACTATCTTAAATATATACAGTATACTTATAGTATTCAGACTATAGTAAACATGATAAGAATAAACGATATACAGTTGTAAATAGATTATTTTATATTTACATAAAAATGAATGATTGTGAGGCCCATTATTTTGTCGTCATTTAGGTTGGACGATGTTTGTTGACGAGCTCTCCACTTTAGTGGCGCGAGTTCTGACTCCAATTCAATCGTATGAATGATTCTTAATGAAATATATATGTCGCCTATCCTCGTATATAATCATCGACTTAAATTGAGTTAGACAATGACGGAATTAAATAAGTCAAATAACGACTTTTGAATATATATATATATATATATATATATATATATATATATATATATATATATATATATATATATATATATATATATATATATATATATATATATATATTGTATATGAAGCTAATGGGATAGAACGAAGCAAAACGACGCGCAGTGGAGATAGCGGGTAAGCCAGCTCAATTTAGTCAAGTGTTGATCAACATTTATAGTCACACAAACATGTGATGAATAGGATATGTGCGCTCACATAAAAACAGTCATGATTGGTATGCGGATAATTAACAAGGTCGAAATGTGACTAAAGTAGAATGAAAGCTTGAATAAAGTATATGGGCTTAACATAATAAGCGACACTACATGATAATCACTTTTTTTGATGGAGTTTTATTCACTGAGCTCGATGGTTTGGTTGTGGAGCTTTCATCATTCTTCTGAACGACATCATCAGCACAAGTTCAAGATCAACAAGAACCAATCAACATCGAGGTCTACAGGACAAGCTATGAACCATATGTGGAGGAATTCGAACACTTCACTTCTATCTGAAGTTTTTGCTGATGATATCATTCAGAAGAACGATGAAAGCTCCACGACTAAACCATCCAGTTCAGAGAACAAAACTCTATCAACACCATCCACCTGAACTACAAATCTTTTCCACCATGATAATCTTTACATTATTATCATATTGTTATTGATGATTTATTTTGAGGTTAATGTAATGCTATACTGTTATTTACATATTAGTTGAAAATAAAACAATATCGATCTATGGTAAACACAAATTGATCAAGATATATATATATAATGATGGAAGAAAGAATTATGGCCTTAAGTATATATGCTCATGTGAATGGATTATCATATATATATATGGCCTGGATACACATGTAAGTGATTTCTAGTCATCATAGAAACCTGAGTAAATATTTGAGTCTGTTGCTAAGTGTTTATTTTCAGTGTGTTTTTTGTTGTTGAAAAAATTCGAAACAGTTATATTGTTTTATACCTTGTACAAACGAACATTTACTTTCATATTTGTCAATGAAAATTTTATAGTAATATTATTTGATAAGGATTTTCAAAGAAAATCCCAAGTAATCGAAAGATTGAATACTTAATACTTCTAGTTTAAATTATTGTTATTATTACTAGTCACTGTAAGGCTGCTGCTGCGAAAGGCTATAGGGTATCATGGTCTATTCGTAGATCTTTCCAGTATTTAGATGATGAAATGTTTAGATTATTATACTCGATTTATGTGCGACCATATTTAGAATATGGGGTGCAAGCAGTGAGTCCTTGTTTCAACTATGAAGCAGAGATAATGGAAAGAGTTCAACGATGAGGTACTAAGATGGTACAAGGTCTATCTGGCCTATCTTATGAAGACAGATTGAAACACCTCAACATATTTCCGTTATCTTACCGTAGAGTACGGGGTGATCTAATATTGGCTTATCGTATACTGAATGATGACCTTGGTATTAACATGTTTTATATCTTACTTCCCTCTAAAACTGATCATTTGAGAGGACATTCGAAGAAAGCTCAAAAACCGAGATCAATTCATTTACGTCTGGAGATTCGTTTCTCTCACCGAGTAGTGAACTACTGGAATTCTCTAACAGAACATGTAATATCATCACCTTCTGTTAATATACTCAAAACGAGATTGGACTTCCACAGTAAGGATTAATTTAGGTCGATAGACCTCCTATCCTTTTTACTGAAGACTGGTTAATGGCTCCATTCAAAATTATAATTTTGGCACAATATAGAATTATCAACACAAATTATTTCAACAAATTTCCTTTTCTTACTTCTTGATTAATCCTGATGACAAATATTGAGCGGTCGTCAGCTAGAAGCTAGCAGTTCAGGAATCGATATGTGAATAATTTATATTTTTTTCGATGCATATTGCCAGCAACTACGATATCTCTAATTGAGCTTTTTATTACAACTTGTACGGTGGAAGGTTGTAATCTTTTCACAAACTCACCTGAATAGACTTTGAGACTAACAGGCATAATGATGTGTTAAAATAAATAATAAAACAGATAACTTGTCGAAATATCTAGATGGTAGGGAGGGACAGGTAGCCCAGCTATTGAAGCAGGCCACCTTGGTGCTATGATTTTTACGAGATCATAATGTTTGTAAACGATCATTATATAATTTCAGTAGCTGAGATCATGAGTCAACTAAAGTTAGACCATCATGGAAAACCGGTCGTTTCGTTCTATTTTGCGACTCCTGAGCAGTGAGCATCCACCATATTGCCTCGCAAGATTCGAACTCAAGTTTTTCATAGTGATCTAGCTTCAACTGACTCATGAACTCAACTAATGAAACTACTATAATATCCACAAGTAACCCCTTCTGATGCTAATCATTATATAGTTTTATATTCGAAGGTACTTTTTTCTACTCTCATTGTACTGAATCTTTTCAAATGGACAAGCTTCATTATCAATTCTGTTATAATAGGACGTTTTTGTACACATAAATAAAATATGTCTTCTAAATTGTTCTAAGAACAATTAATCAGTCAATTAACTTAACTAGAGTTATGTAATCACTAATGACTGGTTTTAAGATAAAAATTCTAATTTCTAGTTAATAGGAAATCATAATAGACTAAGTTCAACTATACTAAAAAGTAAAATAGATATCATTAGCTGGATAATTTAAAGTTACTATAATAGCTATGTAACTTGAATATTCTAGATGAACACTTCTAACTTACTTCCTTGCGCCTGTTACTCCTAAAGGAGCATAGGCCGCCGACCAGCATTCTCCAACCCACTCTGTCCTCCATCTTCTTTTCTAATTCCATTCAATTCTTGTTCATTTTTCTCATGTCTATCTCCATTTCCCGGCGTAATGTGTTCTTTGGTCTTCGTCCTTTCCAATGACCTTGGGGACCCCATGTGAAGGCTTGTCTTGTGACACAGTTGGGTACTTTTCTCAACGTGTGTCCTATCCGCTTCCAGCGCTTCTTCCGGGCAAACGGATCCGAAGCATTTTGCGTAGACAACTGTTAATAAACACCTGTATCTTCTGGATGAAGGCTTTCGTAGTTCTCCAGGTTTCCACCCTATACAGTAGAACTGTTTTGACATTTGCGTTGAAAATCATGACCTTGGTGTTGGTTGACAGTTGCTTTGAGTTCCAGACGTTTCTCAGTTGTAAATATGCTGCTTTTGCTTTGCCGATCCGCGCTTTCATATCTGCATCAGATCCACCATGTTCATCAATGTTGCTGCCCAAATATGTTAAGGTTTTTACATGAACACTTCTAAGGGAGGGGAATTATACTTGAAGAAAAAAAGTCAACCAAGTATTCATTCATTTTCACTGATTTCTTACTTACATATTTAATTTCTGTTACCTCTTGTGAATGATCATCCACTAGAATCTTTTCCAGTTGTTATTCATTTTTTTCATATTTACTTCCAATTCTTGGCCCAGTTAGTTCTTTCATCTTTCTCTTTTCCTTTCAAGATTCATTGATTATTAAGTTTATTTCGGTAGATATGATGGGCTATTTATTATTTAAGATAATTTAATTAAATGAATTCATTATTATTAATATATATATCCATATCTATTTCAACAATAAGGTCAGATACACATGACTGATTGTTATTTATTCAATAATAATGTCAAATAGAATCTGATCATTAAACTAAAATATACAATTAATTTTGTGCTTCTATTTATTTGATTCATTATACAATGAAAGAAACAATTACAATTAATGGAATGAACAATTTAATCTGGCTGAAAGAATGGTAACTTGAAACAGAGAGATAAAGAGAAAGAGAGTGTGTGTGTGTGAGTGGGTGATTGAAAAAGAGACAAAATATAAAAGAGGTCAACTTGATATGAAGCTCTAAAACAACAACAACAACAACACCACCACCACCATCACCAACACCACCAACAACAAAAATTAATCATCTCTTTGTCAATCATATAAGAAATTTGAATACATGAATCCTTATGGAAACTGATTCATACATAAATAAGTATATTTGAAGATTACACAAAGGAGAGAGAGAGAGAGATAGAAAGATAATCGAAAGATTGATAATAATGTACAGTAGGAGGAGATTTTATGAAGAAATATTCTTTACAAAAAAGAATAATAATAATAATAACCATTCTATTTGTATCAATGTAAATCTGATGTTTTATGAACCACACCCAGTTTCATTTTTCTTACGTTACACAAATACTACTACTAATACTACTACCACCACTACCACTATCACTACCACTACCACTACTACTACTACTACTACTAATAATAATAATAATAATAATAATAATAATAATAATAATAGTGGTAATAATAATAAAGGAAATGATGAAAACTACTTGAAAATTGAATAAGTTGTGGATTAAAACAAAATTTACTGATTCATTTTTGTTCTTTTTTTTTCTAGAGAAAAGAAGAAATACTCTTCATTCTAATATTTATTGATTCTATTGAATTAGTAGAATAATAATGGTGAATGATTAGAATCAAACATGAAAATAAGGAGTGATTTTTATGTTAGAATAATGGGAAATATACAGGATAGAGGGATGTTCGTTTGTTTGTTTGTTTTTGAGGTAAAAATCGGATAGTAAGTTGGCAGTTTATGATGACATGTAATGAGTTCTAGTGTTGGAGTGAACATTAAACCTGGGATGCACGTTCATTTGGATAACTAGTTCTAAAACGAAACACAGGTCTTAGATTCCGCTGCTAGCTATATTCTGTTTTTTCTATTTAAACTTGATACATAATTGTTATATTGAGTCAATGCTCATAGGATTCACATATGTCAACTAAGATTAATAAAAATCCAGTCAAAATATTGAAAACAGAATTTACATACAGTGATTCTTGGTTTACAATTATGAGTATTTTCTATTCAGATGATTAATGGACCACTATTGAAAACCTGGAAGCCCTGAATGGCCGTTTCATCCTAGTATGGGACATCTCAACAGTGCGCATTCACGATCCTGCACCAAAGAGACATGAACCCAGAATCCTCGGTCTCGCACACGAACGCTTAACCTCTAGACCACTGACCTAGCATTCAACGGTGTTAATGTCTAACTTCAACCAATCCACGATATTGCGCGATCGTCCACCATTGTCTTCTGTGAGTAATTCCCTCTAAAACAGACACAGTTTAACTTCACCGGTCACGACTTCTCTCTACAATTCCAGGAAATCCATTTTGAAACTAGTAACTAATGAGTGCATGACAATTATCAATGTGGGGTCTCAGAAATTGTTGACCGTAGATGATCACTGCTGAGGAGTCTTAATGTCAGGACGAAACAGCCGTCAAGTGTTTTCAGGTTTTCAATGATGATATAATATTAATCTAGACTCAACAATCCCCATAATCCATTACTAATATGAACATTTTCTTGATATTTATTGAGTTTCTCATTTTGTAACTGGAAATTTCTATGAATAGTCTTTGATTTTACTTTAACCTAATGTAACTTCTGAGGTATTCATTTTTATAGTCAATAATTTTCTTTCCCAGTTATTACTGAGGAATATTTTAAAAAAAATATTGTAATGAAAGTTTATAATCGGAAATGATTTCTTCGCATTAGGTTTCTTTCCTTTTTTGTGAAATAAAATTTAATGAAACTTAGTCACAATTGATTGATTACTGGGTGGTGATCAATGTCATGTGTGTCAAGTCCTTCTTAGTACAGATCGAATGCTATCGACCAAGTTGCAATGTTGCCACTAGTCTAGATGACTCGACACGAAACCCGATTCCAGGGTTTCCTGTTGACTACCTCCAACCACAATCTAATTTCAACATAATGCACGCAATGTCAAGTCACCTACAGTAGTGGCCACATTGCAACTTGGTCGATAGCATTCACTCTGCACTAAGAAGGAATTGACATACATGACATTGATCACCACCCAATGATCAATCAATTAGGATCACATCTCAATCCTACAGGAGATCTATCGCTGCCAGGATAACCCAGTAGTAACATCTCTGACTGTGAAGCTGAGTGACACGGGATAGAATCCGCCAGGGAACACCAATTTTTTCAAGATCACAGGTACACCCTTCTGACGAGTGCCAAATAGCACAAAACCCGTGTCCAAGGTTTCCTGTTGACTACCTCCAACCACCATTTAAGGAAACTTACTAGGATGAAGTATGGTTACAATCTTTAGAAGCAAATTCCTAAGACAAACTTTTGGAAGTTTGATGAATGTCGGCTATTACTAATCACCTTCTCTTAAAAAAAACATTTAAGATGACTTACTTACACCTGTTACATCTCGTCGAGGAGCACAGGCCACTCAACATCATTATTCATCCAACTCTGTCCTGGAAAATAATTTCCGATAGTTTCCATTTGCTATTCATCCTCTTCATGTCTGTTTCCGATTCCCAACGTAATGTATTCTTCGACCTTTCTCTTTTACGTTTCCATTCAAGACTACAAGTTAGCGCTTTTCTCGTGTTGCAGTTTGATGATTTTCACAATGTATATCCTATCCACTTCTAACATCTTTTCCTAATTTTCTCTTCAAATGGAAACTAGTTTGTTCTCCCCCACGGTAGGCTATTGCTGATGTTATCCGATCAACCGACATTCAGTATCTTACGTAGACAATAGTTCATAAATAATTGTACCATTTTGATGATGGTAATAATAATTTTCGAAGTTTGAGCTCCATACAATAGAAGTGCGTTGATGTTTGTATTGAAGATTTTGATTTTGATGTTGGTTGACAGACGATTGTTTTGAGTTTCACGTGTTATTCAATTAACTCAGCCTGGAACCCCTCCCAAATCCGGATAAAGTAGGAGGGTTTGGCATGGGGTTAGCGACCCTCTCCAGCAGTAAACTAACTAGCCAAAATCGCTAACCAGAAAAAAAATTCAAACCATTTAAACTATGTTCTGAGAGTTACAAGGTTTTCATTTAGAAAAGTTATGACCCCTCATATTGAAAGCCGAATTCCTTCTGAAGTCACGAGGCTGATGCCCCTTTTGATAACCAGAGCAATAAGTAATATCCATCAGTTCTAAGAATAAGTCCCTTGCTTTGAAGAGCTTCGGTATTAAAATCAAGTATATATTAAAGAATAAATAACATCTTTATTTAAATTCGCTTAGTGTTGTTTAACCTACATCTTCCCATTGTTATTTAAGACTGCAATTAATCAGTATCTTATTGGCATGTGTGAATAGTGTGCGGATTGCCTCGATATTGCCTTAAGTTACAAGCTTTTGAAGCAAAGATGGATAGTGGTTAGCAGTGTAATCCACAACGCGCGTTTCGTCCTATTCGGAACTCGTCAGTTGAATGTACCTGCACCTGTGTTGATGTTCACTCTGGGACTCGAACCCAGTACACTTCGCTTCAAACACCATTGCGTTTTTCACTTATGAATTAAGGCGATATCGAGGCAATACGCACAGTATGCACTTATGCCAATAAGAGACTGATCAATTGCAATCCTAAACATCAATAGAAAGGTCCAAATAAACAACACCAAGTGAATTTAAACGTCACCCCATTACACAAGCAGGCGGTTATTAGGACTAAGTAGCTAACTGGATAACATGATGGCTATAAAGCGAACAATACGGAGTTTGAGTCCCAAAGTGAGCATTCAGCTGACGGCTTCCAAATTGGATGAAACGCGCATCCTGGATTCCATTGCTAGCCACTATCCACCTTAACATCTTTATTTGTTTAAAATAACTACAAAAAACATTTTATCACAGCATGAATAATTCTGAAATGTTTTAAAGTTTCTAATTGAAGTATTTAACAGAAAATTAATTTCAATTGATAGTTCAATCATAATGAGTAAGTGATACTTAATTTTGTTTGTTTAAACCATCTTATATTGAACAATTTATGATAAAGATGAAGCGGTGCATTAAATTTCAAGTGATTGAATTAACCTGTGGTTAGAAGTGTTTAGAAGTAATAATAATAATAATAATAATAATAATAATAATAATAATAATAATAATAATAATATGTAATAGAGCTGTATCAAGTATATATTTGTTTATGATATCTGAAGAGGAATAAGGTACACAAAAGAACGTTGTTATACAATATTAAGAATGTTAAGGGTTTTCGTTTTATTTACTATATACATTCTACTTCTTTAGGAGTGATGAATTAATGAGAATCATACTCAATTCAGTATGGATATCAATATAATTAGTAAGGGATGTTAGTTATATGCTTGAATGTTAGTACGAATTCATCTTACTCGGTAAACAGAACGAAGGTCAAAGATACAGTGTTTCCGGGCCTGCTAACTAGATCAAGAAGTCTTCATCAGGCGTAAAGAATGTATTCTGCAAGTACTCAGAGAATATGAGGTCACCAAGCACACAAATCAAGCATATTTATACAATGATAGAAACGCTCTTGAGAGAGCCACAAATTAGCGTACTAAGAAACGCAGTCAACCAATGACAGTCAAAGGTTTCCGAATGGGAAATGTAAGCTGTAGGTCAACTAAGCGTCTCTTGGCACGAAAACATTAGATTCAAATTTTTAGAATAAGATTACAAAACTAGGACTTTTTCCAAGTGAGTTCTGTGGATCTAACGTCCTCTGTAGTTAGATCCCCAAAACTAACTTGGTAAATACCTTATTTTTTAAATTCTATTTTAAGAATTTGAATTTTTATTTATTTATTTATTTTCACCTTTATGTCGTATTTCCCACTAGGGAGGATCTTAAACGCTATTGGTTCGTTGTATCTTTTAGTATGCTATTTTGTAGTGCTTCCCAAGGACATTTTTATGCTATATATATATACTTGATTTTTGCTTGTTGTTATTGTTCGTGTTTCTGGTTGAGTGTGGAATATATTTCCCTCTTCCGAAGTTGGACTTCTCTCTTTAGTTAACGGGGCTAGGACGCATCGGAATAGCTAGCTTATTGGTCATTGCGTTACAGAGTTTTCGTTCCTTTCTCAGATTAGGTGAACTCGTAATATCTTCAAACATAGCAGGATATCAAGATAATTAGTAGGTGTTGAGTTATCTAAACCGGATAGGTTGATCATAAAGCTCCCATTATATTTCTTGACATCATCATCAAGATGTACTTCATAACGATGTGACTTATTAAAATATTTTTGTAAATGATCGACAGTGCCCTACGGACATAGGATATCATACGTTGTAGATAGTGTTCTGATTTCACCTAGCTGTGGTAAATCCGAAATGGAGAGTTATATTGAAATCGCAACCAATGAAAAATTAGTCATGTTAACCACAAACATTAACCTAATCTGACTGAATAGGACTCTGTTGAAGGATCTGAATATTTAACGTAAATGTTTGTTATTAAAACATCAGTCGATT